CTGATGATGGATCTGTTCTGCCCCAGAGGACACTAGAGAGGAGGGGATCTCTAACACAAGCGAGGGGAAGCCCCCCTTTCCATTGGATGATGATGGCAAAGATATACATAAATACAGTTTGTCAACTAGTGTCCCCCTAATAAATACACAAGGTTGATTCAATTCCCTGTTCCACTAATTGGGAAATTTCCATGGCCTCCCAACATTTCTGAATTGCTAGGATCAAGGAAGTTGAGGCTCTTGTAGTCACTTCCAGCTCTGAGCTCCCACTGGCCCTGAAATGTTCATTTCAAGGATCATCATAGATCATCTCACCTGTGTGGTCCCAATTCCTCCTCATACTGACCCAGATATTGAATTCAACCCCTTTGCTTAATTTTCATCACCCCCAATCAACAAACCAACAAAATAAATAAAACCATCAGAGAGGTATTGGTGAGTATAGAAGACTTGGGCAAAGATGGGGGCAATGGCAGGATATACATGACAGATAGGCAACTTAAAATTCCTGGACTGATATCTCTATTCCTAGGAGTCTCTTCACCCCTTCTCAGAATGGACTGCTTTACCCTCATCTCTCTTCTCTCTCAATCCCATAATCCAAAAATTCTATTCATTTATAATGCAGGGAAGGTCAATTATCTTTTTTTACTCTGGTTCTTACCAGTCCACTTTATTATGGGCTCATCTTCTACTACAAGAAGCAAGGTGTTGCCTTGTTATATGGAGGCTTAGATCTCATGCATAAGCTATTCTATATTCCCAGCGAAAATGTCATTTTTTTTTTATTTTTTTAAGACTTTATTTATTTATTCATGAGAGACAGAGAGGGGGGTGGAGCAGAGGGACAAGCAGGCTCCCAAGGAGCAGGGAGCCCGATGCGGGACTCCATCCCAGGACCCCAGGATCACGACCTGAGCCGAAGGCAAACGCTTAACCATCTGAGCCGCCCAGGTGCCCGTGAAAATGTCATTTTAAAGTTAATTGAAGAACTATTTGTTTAGAGCTTCCTGTGTGCCATAAGTTTAAATGCATAAAGTTGTTCATATGACATCTCTAACAATGCCGAACTAGAGAAACTTCCATTCCAACCAGAAGGGAATGGGTAAATTCACTATGATTCAGTCACTCAATGAAGTAGTATATTCAGTAGGGATCACAAAATATAAATCACATTTCAACTTGTATATGCAAGAAGCTGTAGTCATAATTTATTTAACCTCTAATTCCTCTGGTTTTACTCCACTGATTAGTGGTGGGGGAGATTAATTCACTGTCTGATGTGATTTAAAGTTTAGTCTGCATTGAGAATTTAGGTGGTATTCAGCCTCCTTGGTTAAAAGGTTAAATCTCTCACATAGTTCCGCTTCCCTTGCTTCTCTCATTAAGATGGCATCTGACTATATGGGGGCATCCTATCTGTGCTTTTGGCAGCAAAAATGAAAAGCTGTCCTCAAGCACAGTGTTGCTTCCTCCTCTGGTCTCTGGAGCAGACCCAAGGCTGCTCTGTGGCTTGCCAACACTCACTGATGGAGACTGCTGCTGGTTTAGCTCAACCTCATCTCTTGGCTTTGCCAAGGCCCTATGTGCACCTTGGCTGATTAGGCCTTGCCTTGGCTTCTGATGGCTGAACACCCCTAAGCAGCTGTCATAGACCCCATCCAGCCCCTGGCCTACAGTCCACCCCTAGGCATTGCTGCTGGGTTACCTTGTTCCACCACAACAATCCACACAGCCTCACTGGCTTTCAACTCAGTATGGACACCTCTGGGAATAGAGGGGTGTTCCAGAAAGTGGCAACTGGACCGTTTTCTGGGTACAATATGACCACGCAGCTCTTCTTCTTAATCAGCCAGAGCAACCCGACCAGGCACAGAAGTCTCCTCCTAAAATCTTAAAGATAAGTGACAGGAGGTGGGAGGTGGGGAATGGGGTAGGTTTCCTGGAGCTTCTTTGCTCCCTCCAGTTATAAAATGCACAGGAACCTGAGACCCACACTTAATTCTTTCACTTTCTTCCCTTCCCCTCTCCTCTCTCTCCCCTACCTGCATCTGGGACAGAAAGAGAGAGAACACTTTTACTTTGCTTCCTTTGTCTTAAACATAGCCTGGCATCCACTGAGCAGCAAGCTTCATGCTTTGCTGTTGAGGCCCAAAGGAGCATATTCTCTATGCCACAGGAGAACTCTATGGTCTGGGTCACCCAGGCTTGATGGTAACTTTCCAGAAAGGGCTTTGGCCAAAGGAATAGCAAATCCTTTCTCCTGTAGCCTAATCCTATTTGCATGTCAAAGGCTAATATTACCTCAGTCTTGCTCTTGACATCACTCCCACACCAAGCAGGAAGTACCTTGGCCAATGCGAAAAGAAGACAGAAGAGAATGTGAATAATTAAAAATGCATCTCCTTTATAGAGTAACCATTTCAAAATATGCTTATGAAGTTCTTAGTAAACTGAATAAAAATGTATAGGTTAGAATGCTATCAGAAAGAAAGCAGGATAAAAACTTAGGGGAAAAATGAAATCACAGCTACATTAAAATGTATACAGAGGAAAAGGTGACAGGAAAGATATCAAAATGTTAACAGTGGTAGTCTCTGAGCAACTGGACTATGATTCTTTTTTTTTTTTTTAAGATTTTATTTATTTATTTGACAGAGAGAGAGAGCGAGAGAGGGAACACAAGCAGGGGGAGTGGGAGAGGGAGAAGTAGGCTTCCCACTGAGCAGGGAGCCCGATGCGGGGCTCGATCCCAGGACCCCGGGATCATGACCCGAGCTGAAGGCAGACGCTTAACCGACTGAGCCACCCAGGGACCCCTGGACTATGATTCTTAATGTCTCTATTTTCCTGATTTTTTCCAAATGTCATAATGAGAATATATTGCTGCTGTAATAGAAACAATTTTTAAAAATTTGTTGGTTGTTAATAAGTTTTTTTTTAAAGTAAATTTAAACAAATATTTTTCCTGCAATTCATTCACTCCTTTACCAAATATTTATTGAACACCTGCCACATTCCAGCTACTGTTCTGAGTGATGTGGGTTTTGGGTAGAAATGAGACAAAGTCCCTGCTTTTGTGGAGTTTTACATTCTAATAGGAAAGGAGGGAGATGATAGTGGTGTCACAACTAGACCAGTCCAAGGTTAAATGAATTATGGAACATGGATACAAAGAACTACTATGCAGAGTATAGTATATACTATATAGTACCTAATGATAGCATAGTCCATCTACCCATACAGATATATCAAAAATATATACTATAGATAAATATATAATATACAAAATCTTCTGCAGCTTTACATATACTTAAGCAATGACACAGAAACATTTTCAAAATATAATCTTTAGAAGAGTGTACAGAGCATGTCTCTCACACACATGGTTGTTTAGGTATATCTCTTTCTGGAGAAATCCATAAGGAGCTCTTAACAGCAGTTGCCCCTGGGGAGGGTCCCTAGGGAGTTAGAGCCGGAGGAGGCAAGCAGGATTGTTTGGTATATTTGAATTATTTAAGATGTGCTTGTATTGCCTATTTTAAAAAACAATAACTTAACCACATTCTTAAAAATCCTACCTGGGCCATGTGAACCATGCAGTTTGCTCCATCTTTTTGGAACATTTAAAAATAATTTTGACTATCCTATCACTCAATTCTATTTAAGTTATTTCTATGAAAAGAGTGTCAATTTACATAGAACGCTATATTTAGAGAATGCTGCATATTCATTTAGTCTCCCAATTCAAAAAACAAAACAAAACAAAACTTTTTTAAACTCTTAAATTATCTCTGCATATTTTCATTCGCCTTTCTTCTTAGTAAGCTAAAACGTTCTGGGTGGGGGGGAGTCATCTTGAAGGGCTTGAAAAACAGAAACTGAGTAGAAGAGGGCTCTGCGGGGCATGAAGTCCAAACCTCAAAGTAAGAACCCCCTTAACCTGTGGTCTTCTGCTCTTTATACAAATACCACAGAAGTGTACTCTCTCATGAGACAACTCATCCTGTGTGGAGACAGCTCATACCATGAAGGCAGTCACGTATTAGGTTAAAACCTACGGTTGCCAAGTGAGTTTGTTTCTGTATCTGGAATATCCACCCTGACACCCCGTTTTCAGAAGCCTACCAGTTTTTCTGAATGCATGAGGTTTATCACTGATAATCACATCCCCATTAGACCCCAGGCCCCTGGGGGCAAATCTGTGTCTCCTTCTCTGAAGCTCCCTCTGCAACGGGACACAGTAGGTGCCTGAATGGGAGCTCACTACTTCCGGTTGCCTCCCGGTCTCTGAAATGATGTCTTAAGCAAACTGCTCGGCAGTGCAGTGAAGAAGGTAGCCAGGAGGCAGTGGGACCCATCCCAAGCACAAGGACCAAGTGGGTGTGACGGACGGGAACACGGTGAGAGTTTGTGTTCCTGGTGCAGCCCGGCCACTCGCCGCTGCATCTTCAGCAGGCTGGGCACATGGGGTACTTTGCTGCAGGGGCCGGCACAGCGCGTGCCGTACTTAATGTTCTTCAGCTGTGCAACAGGACCGTCCGCTGTGACCCTGCTTCATCCTTACTGAATCGTCGTATGGGGCATTAAGCTGCCTTCGGCTGAACCAGTTGGCAACTGCAACAATACCGCAGGAAAGGACGCGGCCCCCTCTTAGGATGAAGCGCGTTGCTCTCAGAAACCGCCTGTCCGTAGCTCCGATCGAGAGCTTCTATACCTTACGGGAGGCTCATCCTCCCCCCACTCTCGGGTGCGTGGAACTACACCCACTCACTGGAGGCAATTGCTTTTTGAAGGTGCCTGTGCTGCGCTAAAGCGCCATTAGGATTTTAGGTAAAGTTGGTGAGCCTTTTTCACTTGGCAACGTGAAATGCAGACAACTCATTGTTTAACCTACAGGGCCAAGTTTTCCTGGGCTGTAAGTATTAACGATCCCGGTTTTACTGCAAACAGTGGCTACCTGTTTGTGGGGTCAGCCTCCCTCCATGGAGAGACGCGGAATGCTTTGGCAACCCGGAGGCATCTCGAACATGTTTTTGCTTGAGAGGGCAATTGCGCGTGCCTCTCTTCATCCTCACCCTCCTCTGCACGTGCTCTGCTTTGCTGCCGGCACACGTTTGTGCCTTCTGGCAGCAGCTACTCAAAGCAGGAGGATTCCAGCAGGTGAGGAATGTATATTATGCAAACCATGGCAATCAGAAACACCAACATCTCCTGTACCTCCCTGAAAATAAACGGCACAGCTTTTGCCAGAAAGCGTGTGTATTACAACAGTCTGCGTCCTAGGAATGAGCCATGAGCCTTGATGCAGAGACTCGGCAGTGTGGTGAAGCGGCTAGTAACACTGGTACAGGGGCCAGCCTGGGTTTGGACCCTGGTCCCAAGACTCACCAATTGTTTTACCTTGAGCAAGTATGGAAACACTCTGCTGCCTCGGTTTCCTCATCTGTAAAATAGGGGAAATATCTCAAAGAGCAGTTATGGAGATTAGATGAGTTTAATACAGGTAAAGTGCTTAGAATTGTGCCCGGCACAGAATAAACCCTCCTTACACGTTAGCTTGTCTGAAAGACAATCTTATCTATGCCCAAGTAGTTACTATTGATAAGCCCATGATGCCCAAAGCTCTAACTCCAGAGCGGACCTCTCCTGAGTGGCTAATGGAACTTCTTCTCTTGGCTGTCACCCAGGCTCCTCAAACTCAGCATATCCAGCACCAAATTCATGACTGGTCCCCATCCAATACGAGCTCTCTCTAGTTCCCTCTGCCTCTGAGAACAGCACCACCATTCACCCCAGGTGCAAGCCGAGACTCTGCTTCTCCTTTGGTCTCCACGCCCACCTAATCCAAGCTATCAGCCAGGCTCTGATTTAGGCCATGCCATCCCCTCCAGCTGGTCTCCCCTCATCTTCTCTTTGGACCCTCTCCAATCTGTTTTCCATGCAGTAGCCAGAGTGATCTGCCAAATCATAAAGCTATGACACAGACACACATGCACTGCCTAAAATCCTTCATTGTCTCCCCATTGACTTTTGCCTAAGAACTAAAAGCCTGCCAAGGTCTTGCATGGTCTGGCCTCACCTTCCTCCCCAACCTCATCTTGTACTTTCTTTTTGCTGTTTGGGCTTCTTTCATGGCCTTGGACAACATATGCCATCCTACCCCAGGGCCTTTGTACCTGCTGTTCCCCCAATTACTTTACATTTCATTTTTAATTAACTCCTGCTCATCCTTCAAATTACAGCCCAGGCACTTTCCTGAAACCCTGGTGAAAGTCAGGCTTCTTTTTCATATGTTCTCAAAGAACCATCTACCTTTCAAGCCATGCTTATTTCTAGATATACATTAATGTTATTATTTGAATAATGTCTATCTTCACAATAGACAGAAAATTCCACAAGAGAAGGAACTTAGGACAGTAACCAGCCCATGGGAGGTGCTCAGTATTTTTAGAATTAGCCAATAGAAAACTTACATTTATTTAGTGATTCTCCTCCATATATTACCCCCTCTTCACCCTCATGCAGACCTTTGAAGTTCATAATTATGATTGTCTCATTTTAACAGATGAGGACCCTGAGGCTGAAAAACTAGATGATTTGTTCAAGATCATGCAGAAAGTAAATGGAAGAGCTTCAGAAAAAAAAAAAAAAAGCCTCTTCCCACAAATGCTTTGACAGCTTGTCTTCAGTAGTCCTTTTTCATAGAACAGAACCTTTGGTTAGGGAGCTATTCATATCTGCACTGAGATGCTGGACTGGTCTAAACCAGAGGCCCCATGTAGCTCAAATCACTGCCATCCCTCCGGCAGCTCCACCTTGTTGCACATCCTGGCCCAGAGAGGGAGGGACAAGGAGACAAGGTGGGGCCTCTGCTAATTCTCACATCATTGCCCAAAGCAAAGAGGTTCCCCCATGTGCCCCCACCCCAATCTCCAGACTCTAGAAACTGGAAAAGGAAAGGAAACGGGATCTCCCCTAGAGCTTCCGGAAGGAAGGCAGCCCTGCCAACTCCTTGATTTTAGTCCAGTAAGACTTATTTCAGACTTCTGGCCTCCAGAACTGTAAGATACTAAACTTGTATTGTTTACATCACAAGTTTGTGGTAACTTCTTACCGAGGCAATGCACTTGGCTTATCCCTTCTTCCCACCCTTCAGTCTTCCCACTAGCTGAATCCAACAGGGAGCCAAGTGACAGAGAAGCCAGGGAAACAGCCTGCCAGGGAAGGACAAGGAAAGGATCTTGGGGGAGCAGGCCGAGGACCACTGCAATCACTTTACTGCTCCTTTGGGCAGCACGTACTTCACTGCGCATCTGAAACTCATTCTTCCAAGTCCCATTTTAAAATACTGTGTGTATAAATCATCCCATCGAGTTTGTTCTAATCTAAGTGGTGAAAAGACCGACATGTTGAAAACTGTGCAGGGACAGAAGCATGTATATCACAAAGACAAGGCTTATTCTCTCCTGACCCGTTCAAATTCATCATTAATCGTTAGAACCAAGGAATAACATTTGGTCAAGGAGTAATTTTCATGAGACGGTCTGGTAATTTTATGGACTCCTTTTGATGTTTACGATTTTATCAGCATGCAAATCAAAACAGATGACATCACTTTATCTTTCTCAACTGCACCAGTAGCAGACTACAATCTGCTTTGACAGCTTGTCTTCAGTAGTCCTTCTTCATAGAACAGAACCTTTGGTTAGGGAGCTATTCATATCTGCACTGAGATGCTGGACTGGTCTAAACCAGAGGCCCCATGTAGCTCAAATCACTGCCATCCCTCCGGCAGCTCCACCTTGTTGCACATCCTGGCCCAGAGAGGGAGGGACAAGGAGACAAGGTGGGGCCTCTGCTGAAAGTATTCCATAAAAACCACACATAGCCGGGTTATCATGTGGGCAGGGCGCTGCCCACAGCTCCCGTCCCTGAGTCAGTCCCCCAGTGTGACTTGGCAGCCCATCTCCATCAGCTCTGTGGTTGAAAAAAAAATGGGTCATTGCACTGTGACAAAAGAACATTCACTGAAAATACAGCAATTAAGAAAAGTTTGAGCTCCAATGGTCTCAAATGCCCAAAGGAAGCTTGTACTTGCCGTGTGTGGATGCCAAAAGCAGACAGACTGACAAAGCAACACAAGCTCCACCAGCAGCCCACCAGGGACACGTTTAAGAATTCAATCAGACAGAAGGAAGTGGCCGAAAGCCACTGATGGAGGGGACATGAGGCCTTGGAAAAAGGCTGTTTTCTACATTATGAGCATTTAATTGAAACATTCTGGAACCGCCAATCCCAGGACCTAAAAATAGGGCATCACTACAAAAGACTCAGTAGTAAAGTTTTCACTTACAAAATTTTATTTTTGCCTAAATGAGATGGAAATATGTAGAGCTCACATTATGTAAGGCAAAGTTTCACTCTCACACACAAACACACAAAACTGGAAGAAGTTCATAAACAAAAGTAGCAAAAAACAGACGGCAGTTGAAGCTAGATGATGAGGGCACAAGGGTTCATTGTATTCATCTTCGCCTAGTCATTAGGAGTGTTTTAAAATTTCTACAAATAAAGGGGAAAAGGCAGTTCTGATTTCATTGGATGGCAGGAGATTTTTCATAGTTATTTTTCCTTCACACGGCTCATTTCATACAAATTTTCACCAAGTTTTGCCATGTCGCTAGACCGTGGGACCCAGAGATATTGCCAGGAGCGCTCTGATTCTCTCCATGCCCATGTGGAAAGCAGAAGCCTGCTCTGGCAGAGGGCATGGGAAATGAGTGGGCAGCAGGCTGAAGCGGGGGGGAAAGAAGCAGGGCAGGGGCAGCCCCTCCACTGAAATGCGCTGGGAAGATCCACACTCTGGGACCAGCTCACCTGTACTAGGGGGCCACCAGCAGCCCAACAGACACTTAGATACTGATTCAAGTTCAATTCACAAAGCATTTACTGAACACTCATCATGAGCCAGGCCTGGGTGCTAAGTATGGAGCAGAACACCATGCATAAGCGCCACCATCTGCAATAGCTTCATTGTCTTTAAAAGTTGAAGAGTGTTGACTGAATTGCCTGCAAAGTCAGTCACCGTAGCAGCATTAACCTTAATGAAGAAAAATTTTAAAACACAAATTCTCTGCATGTTGTGGCTCAGCACCAGCTCCATCTATGTGCAGGGCAGGTGAGTTGAAGATGTGCTAGGAGCCTCCCTTGTTAGCATCAATTTTCCAAAAAGCAAGGCCAAACTTTGCTTTTCTAGAGAGTACCAAGATGGTCAAGACATACGTCATGGGTGGGCTGACTGTCCATAACCACAAAGTGGAACACAGTGCCAATCCCATTTTGGAACAAATGTCTGAAAAATCACAAGAGTCATTATCTCTGGTCTTGCTCAGTTCTGTCACAGTAGGGAATGGGAAATGAAGCAGTGAGGAAATAAGCCAGGATTGATAATGGACAGTGCAGTGCCTTATCCATCTAAAGCAACGTTCCCTTCCCCCTTCTTTTCCTTCTTAACAGCTGGCCCAAGGGACCTAAACTTAGCAAGGGCGAGGTGTAGGAAACTAGATAGTGCATTCTGCAGTTGGATAGGAAATACTGGGCTCAATGTGTTTAAGGTTAAGATTAATTCCTCACTTCCTCTGAATCTATTTTAGAAACAGAGCAAAGGATCCATATGCTTTCTTCTAACAAAATGACAGATGATCAAAGGATAAACATGATCCGTATGTCAAACCCTCCTACTGACGTGGCCCTTTGCCTACAGAATTTAAAAAAAAAAAAAAAAAAGTATTTTACCATTGTGGTTAAAATGTGGTTGCCTGTGTTTATTCAGAAAATTCAGTATGGCAACAGACAGAAAAATAGTGACTCGTGATTGGCTGGACTGACACAAGACTGTAGAACAAAGGAAAAATTTAGTGGTATTGTTCTTAAACATCATCTTCACGGCAATAAACAAAGACCACAAGGCCTCTCTCTCTCAAGTCTGAGACTTGGTGTCTGAAAGAAGAAATCTGCCCACTGTCGAGGTAGAGAATCATTTTTTCTGATTTGCTGTAACAATCCTAATTAATTCTTCTTTGTTATTGTTCCCTGTGTTCTGTAAATAAGAGCCCTCTTTCTGCATAGCCACTGATTAGGGCTGATTTAATTGAATTTCA